TCACCCCTACCGTGCCTCGGCTCGCTCCGGCACCCTAGCTCTGTCTCTTCTCCCTACCCATCCCCGGACTCATTCCCTTCCCTTTCCCAGCTTCCAACTCATTCCTTATCTCGCCTTTCTCACCCAACTCTCCTTTCTCCCTGTATTTGAAGAATGAGTTGAATTGAGACTCTTAGATGTTGTGAATTTTGAGTTTCTAATTATGATTATTATTATTATTACTATACAAATAACCCGCGCCAAGGAGAAAGAAACTTATGACGACGTTTCAGTCCGACTTGGAAAATTAGCTAGTAACGGTATTGTACCTTTTTATGCATTCTTATTATTATTAATAATAGTAATTGCTTCCGTGTTGTAAGATGAGGCTCGGATGTTTTAATAACGTGTCACTTAAATGAACGTAAGTAGCATTGTGACCTGTTAGTGGCACTTACTAAAATCAAGAATAGCAGCATTGTGGTTCTGTTATTGGCTTTAAAGGTAACATTAGGAGCATTGTAATCCTTTTGAGTGGCAGTGTGACAGACAGTTGCTCCGTGGCTCTGTTAGTGGCACTAAAACATCAGTGGCACTGTGGCCCTGTTAGTGGCACTTACAAACCCACGGTGGCGTTCGAGGTCTGGGCTCAGATTACAGCGATAGCAAAGGTTTCCCAAAACTGGATGTTTCCTCCCCCTCAGTTTTGAAATCCCTTACCATTTGTGGGTCATGCTCGCTCGCTCTTGCTCATATATACGCAAGACAAGCCACGGGGGGTGGAAATCTTCAGCTCAAGTACTTTCACACTTCTCAGTGAGTCATCAGGAGCTTTGCAATGTTGCAAGAGTGGTAACAGGAGAAATGAGGGAAAGTTTTCACAGAACACGGTAGCATAGGTGATACCAACTACAGCTTCTGGCGTCAACGAGCCTGGAAGCCAGTTCCTTGAGAAAGACCAAGTGGCTCCTGTCCAGTTGGAATAAATTAGTACTTATGATCCAAATCCCCATATTTGAGTTTGAATTCTTTGCTATGATCAGCCGCATTGATATAGATGTCAGAAAGCATGGGTATATATGTAAGATTAATTCCAGACATATAGCTTGCCACTCTGCAGGGATAGATTGTGATGCCAACAAGGATTATTGATTGCAGGGAATCTTGATTTCTCTCTCAGCTGTGCACTCAGTCGTAGCAGGGTTTCTCTTGATGATGTTGACTTTGATGTGTCTTGTATGCCAACCTTTGGAGTTTGTACACTTAGACCATATTGATCACATTGCATGTTGCCGCAAATACGCTGATATGCAGTGGGAATTGGGGTAGCAAGGTGGAAGTAGTGAAAATGTGCCCTAGCGATTGACAAACTATCCCTGTCAGGGGCCCGAGACTGTTCAACTGCCTCCCAGCACACATAAGGGGGATTACCAACAGACCCCTGGCAGTCTTCAAGCTGGCACTGGACAAGCACCTAAAGTCAGTTCCGGATCAGCCGGGCTGTGGCTCGTATGTTGGTTTGCGTGCAGCCAGCAGCAACAGCCTGGTTGATCAGGCTCTGATCCACCAGGAGGCCTGGTCTCAGACCGGGCCGCGGGGGCGTTGACCCCCGGAACTCTCTCCAGGTAAACTCCAGGTACAGGCTTCCCCACCTGCCCAGCGCCCGGTGACGCTCTCACCTACCCTTCCCCACCTACGCTTCCTTATTCATTGCGCCTGACCTGATCGTCTACTCACTGCTTACCATTCAAATGAAAACTCTCCAGTGTCATATCCTGACACACACACACACACACACACACACACACACACACACACACACACACACACACACACACACCTAATTGTGGTTACAAGGGTTTAGTCATAGCTCCTGGCCCCGCTTCTTCACTGGTCGCTACTAGGTCCACTCTCTTCCTGCTCCATGAGCTTTATCATTCCTCTTCTTAAAGCAGTGTATGGGTCCTGCTTCCACTACATCACTATGGCTGAAGAAATACTTCCTAACATCCCTGGGGCTCATCTGAGTTTTTAACCCCTTGTTGCTGCGTCACATTTCTGACACATTCCGTCCCTATCCAACCTGCCAATTCCTCAGTATTTTATATGTTGCTATCATGTCATCCACTATCCTTCTCTCTTCTAGTGTTGTCAGGTTGAGTTCCCTAGCCTCTCCTCGTAGGACAAACCCCTCAGTTCCGGGACTAGTCTTGTTACAAGCCTTTGCACTTTCTCTAATTTCTTGACGTGTTTGACCAGGTGTGGGTTCCATACCGGTGCTGCATACTCCAATATGGGCCTGACGTACATGGTGTAGTGTCTTAAATGACTCCTTACTTAGATGACGAAACGCTGTTCTCAGGTTTACCAGGCGCCCGTATGCTGCAGCAGTTATTTGGTTACTGTGCGCCTCAGGCGATGTGCTCGTTATGATGCTTACCCCCAAGATCCTTTAACCTCTTAGGCTGTATTTCGTCTGTGGTCTCCTTTGTCCTTCCACAATCTTAACTTTGCACATGACTGAATGTTGAGTTTAACTTGAGTCGCTCCGGAAGTAACTGTCCCCGCGGCCCAGTCCTAGACCAGACCTGGTTACTGGCCTCATGGATGAAGCTGTTAGTGCCCGCCGACCGCAGTAGCTTATTCATCACAATCCAGCTAATCAGGAACTGATTTGAGGTATACAGGCCTAGGTGATATCAATGACATACTATTCTATAGAAAGCCGCATGTTATGCAGAGCATTTCCCGGAAATTAGGTCACTTTTGTCCCAGGATGCGACCTACACCAGTCGACTAACACCCAGGTACCCATTTTACTGATGGGAAACAGACAACCAGTGAAAAGAAACACTCCCAATGCTTTTACCCTTGGCAGGAATCGAACCCGGATACTCGCCGTGTGAAACGAGAGCTTTAGCCACCAGGCCACCAGCCCCTTATGCATTAAGGGAGGGTGTTGAAGAGTCGTGGTTCCTCTACAGGCGTGTGGGCGTGCGTCTTGAGGGAAGAACCCGCCCACTCCCGCAGGTTGAGCGGTCACGTTACACATTCACCTTTTGTTTCCCCTTCCACTGTTTCCTCCTGTTTTATGAGCGACCGTTGCTTCCCCGCTCGTTTCGTCCTCCGTATCTCTTCCCTCCCTATTCCTCCCTCTTCTTCCCTTACCTTTTCCCTTCCTCTCCTCGAGGAAAACACACACAACACACACACACACACACACACACACACACACACACACACACACATATACATATCCAGGCAAGGAATAGGGAACATGCACCCTCACCCAGTCGCATATACACACCTAAATACGCATGGAGTGCACCCATATACTCAGTGAAGGCACGTACATATGCCTGTAACACGCAAATCTACGAAACGCGTACAAGACACGCACTCAAGACACGCACGTACACTCATACTCCCATATCCGGTATCACATTTGACCTACCCGCACTCTATTATTTTTCCTCTCTCCAGCTGTCCTATTCACCTCCCCTCCCTCACCCCTCACATGTCCGGGCACGCGTCCGCACGCACGCGCGTGCGCGTACCAACACACACACACACACACACACACACACACACACACACACACACACACACACACACACACACACCCTCTCTGGGGATTCATTTTATAGTGCGTTCATGGAGTCATTTTTACCCACTCTGCAGTACTTCCAGCAGAGGCACTGGAGATTTGGGAAAGAGGGTTGGGTACGGTGGAGGAGGGGAGGGGATGAAGGAAAGAGGGTTAAGGTAGGGAGGTGGGGGAAAGATGAGGGTAAGAAAAAGGGATGGGGAGGAGAGGAGGGATAGAGTTTGTTGCCTTAACGGTCTTGGCTCGTGTGAAGACGTTGGATCAGTTAGGTGTTGTCTTAAGTTGTGGTGCTTCTGTGTGTGTTGTAGAGTGAACGTTGTCATGGCCGGCTAAGTGGGTGGCTAGTTGGTTGACTGGTTAACTGGGTGACTAGTTGATTGGCTATCTGGGTGACTAGTTGGTTGACTGGCTAACTTGGTAGATAGTTGATTGACTGGTTAACTGGGTGGCTAATTGGTCGACTGGCTAACTGGGTGGCTAATTGGTTGACTGACTAACTGGGTGGCTAGTTGGTCGACTGGCTAACTGGGTGGATAGTTGGTCGACTGACTAACTGGATAGCTATTTAATAAACTGGATATCTTGGTGGCTAGCTGGTTAAGTGTCCTCCAGGTGCCCGGTGCTTTAGCATGGTCCAGCTATTCTGTGCTTCCTTATCGGAGTTCATAGGCTCAAGCCTATAACGTTCCGTATGTCCTAAGTGTTTGCATTTTGTCTCTCTCTCCCCACTCTTGCTTGATCTGCTGCTCCATCAGGCGGCTGACGCCAGCAGCACGCGGTGTTACACATACACTGCAGCCCGGCTGATCAGGACACGCCTTAACGTACCTAAATTCCCTTTAAGAGTAATCCATACTGTAATATCCAGGACGAGGCTACAATTACTCTCCTGACCTCTTGAAAGCTGGTTTATTCTCCATTAATATCCCTTGATTTTTTTTTAACACATCGGCCGTTTCCCACCAAGGTAGTGTGACCTGAAAAAGAAGAAACATTTTCATTATTCACTAGTAAAAAAATGATTACGGTGCTGGAGTGTGTAGCTATTTAGCATTGTTACTGTCTGTACCCAAATGCGGTATGACCCATTCAGATTTAGCGTTTTCTTGAGTATATTTATAGTAATTTATTTCCCATAGTCTAATAGATGAAAATCTTCCGTTTTTTTTTTTTTTGGCATCTGTGCTGGGTATTGTGGTACCAATGTGTTGTGTACGAGGTCATGCTCATGCGCAACATATTAGGGCAAAGCACACACAAGGTGTCGCATATTTCCGTAGATAAGTTTGAGGGAGTGTTTCCTCACTGACTGTATTCATTGATTTCTCTATGTGTGTGTGTGTGTGTGTGTGTGTGGTGTGTGTGTGTGTGTCGTATACTTTAGCTCACCTCGCTTTGCTTGGGTTCTTTGCAGACCTGCCGGCGCCAGTGCCTCCTCTGACCCCTGGCACCACCAAGAAGATGACAGATGCTCTCAGGGCGTCGTTCGCGTCCTGGGAGAAGGAGAGAGAGAAACACAACATCACCAAAGGTAAAGTGAATGGTTGTGTGTACTTACTTATGCTTGATTGGGTTGATTTATAGCTCCTGGCCCCGTATGTGTTTATGTGAGCAGGGGTTGAAATCCATCTCTTGAATTACTCTACAATCTTCCTAGTTTCGTACTTGTTATAGGTCTCCACTACATCTCTTCATAAATCCTGTGTGTGTGTGTGTGTGTGTGTGTGTGTGTGTGTGGGTGTGTGTGTGTGTGGTGTGTGTGTGTGTGTGCGCGCGCGCACGAACACACGCACACACACCTAGTTGTCATTGCTGGGGTTGAATCTCGGCGTCTGACCCAACTTCTCAGTTCCTCATAAATGGCCTCCTCTTCATTCCTGCTCATCAGGCTATTACGCGGTCGGCCTGGTCTGGGACTGAACTCTTTGAAATAATTGCAAATAGGTAATCTCACCGTTGTTTCCCCCTCCCCTGATGTGAGGAAGGTACATATAAATTCAGTTACGCACCTTGATTACTAGGAGCCTTTGTAGTCCCTTGACCTGCGCTCCTTGGAATGCAGGCGAGATGCATCATAATCTACACCTGGAAAATCCTAGAGGGATTGGTCTCAAATCTGCACACAGAAACCACTCCTTACCAAAGGAAGAATCGTCAAAGGTGCAACATATAATGCAAGCATGGCTGCCTTCAAGAGGGAACTGGATAGATACCTAAAGTCAGTGCCCAACCAGCCGGGCTGCGGTTCGTATGTTGGATTAGGTGTGGCCAGCAGTAACAGCCTGGTCGATCAGACCCTGATCCACCAGGAGGCCTGGTGGATCAGGCCTCCTGGGGGATCCCCCAGGAGAAAAACTACCCGGAGCAACCTCGAGGCAGTTTTTCTCTCATACCTGGAGAAGGTTTCGGGGGTGAACGCCTCTCCAGCTCAGCTTCTATCAAGAGGATGTCTTGAAGCAAGTGAGAGGGCTCTTTATCCAAGGAATGGACGCTCTCCAATTCTTTTATCATACCTAACTTTCTATTATTCCTCAGATGTGGAATGGCTTCCAGAGAAGAGTAATGATAATAATCCAGCCCTATCTTGAGGGAAAGAGAGAGGGGGGAGGGGGAAGCCGGTGCAGGATGTGGCTTGGGTAGTAGCTTGGGAAGTGGGTATGGTGGGTGGGGTGTGGGCAAGACCCACGTGCCCACCACTAATGATATAACCTTAATGCAGGGTGAAATTATAGCTGTAAACACTAGCGTTGCCAGCTGGCCCACGCCCGTGCCCGCCTTGAGGCGGGCTGACCCCACGCCCACCCACGGCGGTTACCCACGCCCATCCCAGGCAATCCATGCCTACCCCAGGTTACTCACGCCCACCCTAGGCTACTCGAACCCACCCCACATTTATCCAGCCAAACACACATTACCAAACCCTCTCACGTCCACCTCCAGCTTATACGAATTCACTAATAATAAAATAATAATACCTTCAAATCTTAATTATATTATAATAATAATATAATTTTACAGGAATTATCTTATTATTAATCATTGCGTGAGGCCTTAAACCCAAGTGGTTAATTCAGTGCAAGGAGACTGGAGTCTCGACCCACCGTTCGCCAACACAGGTCTGAAAGACAGCTGCTGCGGTAGTTGTAGTTCCATCCTCCACCTGTGACACACACTTCCCGACTCGCACGCTTCCTATGTTAATGTACAGCTGCACGTGGCTCTGAGTGCACGTGTGTACACCTGGTGGACGTGCGTGTGAGCGCACACACATACACATACACACACACACACACACACACACACACACACACACACACACACACACACACACACACACACACACACACACACACACACACCAAAAAAAAGTTGTTTTGAGAGGATGTAGTTAAGGACGAGTACTGCAGAACAGAACATAACCTGTGTTAGTAAGAGTGAATAATGTGTAGGATTGTAAGAGTGCATAATGCATGGGATTGTAAGAGTGCATAATGTGTGGGATTGTAAGAGTTCATAATGTGTGGGATTGTAAGAGTACATAATGTGTGGGATTGTATGAGTGCATAATATATGGGATTGTAAGAGTACATAATGTGTGGGATTGTAAGAGTGCATAATATGTGGGATTGCAAGAGTACGTAATCTGCGAGATTGTAAGAGTACACAATCTGTGGGATTATCAGTCGATTTAGATTTTTGCCACCGAAGCGGCTAGTTTATTGTGCACCCCATATCCATCCAGTGGACGGTAGTGCAAGAACATGGATACACAAAAGACCTAGGAAGTAGGTATCAAAAGGATTAACAGAAGTACATCTGAATTTATATCAAGTTCACTCGTCAGTTGCAAGCAATTTTAGGAAATTTACTTAAAATATCTAGTGTCTTATTTTCATTACTAAGATATCTTAACATATCACATACTTGTAACTAAGCCTCAGCCTGGCAGTTACATGTCAGTCTGGTCACACTGCAAGTTGCTCCATACTTATCTACGGTCATGTCATCATAGTGGGTTATAGATCTAGTAGGCTTCTAATTGCATTCCTATAACATTCAGTTTCATTATTTATTTCTCTAATAAAATTATTCCTAATGACAGAAAGACAGAGACAGACACACATAGACACACACACACACACACACACACACACACACACACACACACACACACACACACACACACACACACACAAATTATATTTTGTATTTTCTTTCGTGGTACTTAATTGGCTAATCTGACAACTTTACTGTGAAGGAGTAATACAGTCTGCTATGAAATTCATAACAAATGCACATAAATTCCTTTTTCCCGGAATTCTGGATTGTCAGTATGAGTACAGGTGTGATTGTCAATAAGAGTACATGTTATGTGTGATTGTCAGTAAGAGTACATGTTATGTGTGATTGTCAGTAAGAGTACATGTTATGTGTGATTGTCAGTAAGAGTATTTGAGTGTGATTGTCACTGAGAGTAAATATGTGTGATTCCCGTAAAAATTCACAATGTGTGCCTTATTGTCTATAATATTGGGTGGACAAGTAATGCATAACAGCTAGGAGGATTGCAGGACATGTAGAGTACACGGGTTAATGAAAGACTGGTGGTTGCGGTGATGGTGGGCTGTGGTGGTAATGGGTTGGTTTGTAGCAGTGGTGGTGGGGAAGATTGTGTGGGGCGGTTGTGATGGTGGTTGGGGACACATGAATTAGTAGTTGGGGTAGGTTGGGGCGAAACATGGTTGTTAGTAATGGATGTCTGCTCTTACTGTCTGCTGTTGCACGATGGATGTGGGTGATGGTTGTCTGACTTCTCTGTCTCTTGTAGTGTTGCTGGAACGCTTTTATATTTTTTATTCAGGCTACGTACATAATTTGAATCTCTTGTTGAAAATCATGTGGAATTTAACGAATAAAGTCAAGCATTTGTGTGTGTGTGTGTGTGTGTGTGTGTGTACTCACCTAATTACTCATTTGTGGTTGCAGGGGTCGAGTCATAGCTCCTGGCCCCGAGTTTTCACTGGTTGCTACTAGGTCCACACACTTCCTGCTCCATGAGCTTTATCATACTTTTTCTTCAAGCTATGTATGGATCCTGCCTCCTGTGCGTGTGTGTGTGTGTGTGTGTGTCGTCCTGGCCCGTGGTGCAGCCTCGTAATGAGGGTAATCTAGAATCAACAATAATGTTCCTTCCTATTTCACTATCAGCCAACTGGCGCGTTCTGTTCACTTCGGCGCCTGGCATATGCTATCCTCGCTCTCTCAATCTAGCATCTCCTCCCACACGTGTTCGCTCAGGGCGGCATCAGGAGCCACGCCCGCGGCCGAACGCTGCCGGAAGACAGCGATGGGCAGTCTGTCTTGGGCCAGCCCCAGTATTCCATACCAAATAACGAAAAGTCTTGAAGATAATGTTGTTTTTATCGCATCTCTCGGGCTCCTTCGCTGGTGCAGACGGTGTTATTGTGGGAAGCTTCCAGCGAGACACAATAGTTCCTCTTCGTTTCTTAAAATACTTTACCTCCGGTTTTAACACGTCTTAATCTCCGTCTCTCTCTGCCTCTGTAAACATCTATCTAGGCGAATATAAATAGGAAATGCGTCTGTCTCGCGCTCAGCTGACGGACAATCAAGTCTCCACCACGCCTTGCGTTGAATGACCCACATGGGTTTAGTGCTTATAATGATTTCTCTCTGTCTCTTTCTCTGTCTGTCTGTCTGTCTCTCTCTGTCTCTCTCTCTCTCTGTCTGTCTGTCTCTCTCTGTCTCTCTCTCTCTCTGTCTCTCTCTCTCTCTCTCTCTCTCTCTCTCTCTCTCTCTCTCTCTCTCTCTCTCTCTCTCTCTCTCTCTCTCTCTCCCTCTCCACCGTGCTCATCCGTGGTGTGTCGACCACTTTCTCTTACACTTGCCAGTTATCCAGGGTTGTGTGCTTATGTAGAAGAACCAGAGTGATGGAAGAGAAAGGAAGAGTGATGGTTATAGATGAATGATGGACACGTAGAAGAAAGAGTAATGGGTATAGCTGAGTGATGGACACGTATAAGAAAGAGTAATGGATGTAGAAGGTATAGTGCACTTGGCAAAACAACATTAAAAACAAACAAACAAAAAAAAATGAAACCACAAGATGTCGCTCGGAGAATTGAGAGGTGTGAAGGTTGTGCCTACCACCAGCTGGCTGGCGGCGGCCTCCAGCCCTCCTCCACCACCACCTCCTCTACCTTCACCACCACCTCCTCTTCCTCCTCCTCCTTCCACTCACCACCACCACCACCCCTTTGATGAGAACACCACCAAAACCAGGTGGGGAAGGAACAGCAGGCATCACCACCACCACCACCACCCGCTGTCTCAATCACCTCACATCTGCATTTTAAGTGCATATTGTGGCCTGCCTCACACTGTGGCACCCCCACTGTAGCACCTTCACACTGTGGCACCTTCACACTGTGGCACCTTCACATTGTGGCACCCCCACTATGGCACCTTCACACTGTGGCACCCCCACACTGGCACCTTCACACTATGCCA